ACAGTGCAGCTGGCAGCAAGAAGTATGGCTGCAGGGCGACGTTCTCTCAACTCCCGCCCAGGAGCACATGAGCACAGGGCTATCGAGCAATGATGTGGGCTTGTGAAAACGTGCAATTTTTCTCATGTGTGCGAGGCACATGATGTCAGCTGCAGCTCTGAAAAGAGTCGGGTTTGTGTTATGTGCATGTGCCAGGCGCTCTCTACGGAGGTGTTCGGTGCTAATTATCTAATAGAGAGCACGGTGCGCCTAGTGAAACATAACCCTCGTTACAGCGTTCAAAAGTTACGCTCCTCCTTGTAGTGCTGGAGCATCGTGATATGAGCGAGGTGAATGTTTTCATTTTCAGTGGTTTCTAATTACATGGCGCCTTCTAAAAAAATTGTGGAAGATTTTCTGTTTTAAATTTTTTTTCAGATTGTATTTTTAAATTTTAAACCTGAACATTTTTAGACTTTTTTTCTTTTGTTGTTTTTGTTTCTGCTCCTTCTCCCCTGATCTTTTCCAGTGGCTAAAGAGAAAGAAGGGGGAGGTGGAAACCCCCCCAAACTGAATTGAAAATGAGAACAGTTTTATTTTTTTGTTTTGAAAACTAATTGTTTTTCATCAATCACTGAAAAATTTTGAAACTTCCCATGAAGAATTTCAAGAGAACAAGGTTATTTTATTTTTAACCCACACCCCCACATATCATTTTTCAGCTGGCTCTGATTTGGATTTACGGTCCCCAAATCTTAGAGCTGGCCCTGTGCTAGTGGGGATGTGTGGGCGGGGGAGTTACCCTGCAGGGAGGGTGAATTCTATATCGTCCTTCCTGAAAGATGCGTGTGATGCTCTGGATTCAGGATTGCAGCTGTGCTGTTTATCTGCCCTTGGCGCATGGTTTCACTGGCACACGCGACTGTTTTCGTTTCCTACGTTGCTCCCCAGAGCAGCGTCACTGTCGTATCGGTAGATTTTAAATCCTGGGCACGTCTGTTCGGTCGTTCTGTCCATGAAGCACTGGCTGAGGTGCGCTGCAGTGAAAAGAGGGAATAAGGGAGTTTCTCTGCTTTTCAATCATGTTGTTTTGTGCGGTAAGGGCCAGGTTTTACTACACGTTGACTCAAAAGCAAGTCTGCCGAGCAGTGTGGTTGATTTGCTTTCTAGGGAATGGGATTTTGTGCAAGGAGCCAGCACTGGAAACTGAGACATTTGTGTATTGGCTGATCAGGTGCAGCAAAATCATTCCCATTCCCACGTGTTCTCCTTGGCCACAGGCTCCACGTGGAGTGAGAGGGTAGGTCAGTCTCCAGGGTGCACTGAGCCCCAAGAGTCTCTGGAGGTTGGTTTTTAACAGCATTAGCTGGATTTTCGAGCAGATGTTAACTCTGCCATCAGGGGAGCACGGTGTGGCGTCTCCCCTCCCATGTTCTCTTGGGCCAAGCGACATGGAAGGGATCTGTTCAAGAGGCTCCCCGGTCTCTAGGGGAGTGTGCATTGGAGATACCATTTGCCCTATTCAGCTACCCCCACAGAAGGAAGCAGAGCCCTGAGCCCCCTGAACTGGAGCCCGGGTCTCCAGCTCTTAGTGGCTATTGCCTAGATCAGCAGTTCTCAAACTTTAGCAACCCATTTTCACGGACCCCCAAGCCGGCTTCTCATTTTCCCCAGAGGTGCTCAACCCCTGCTTAGCCCCAGACCCCTCCCCCATTCCACCCTTTCCCCCAAAGCCCCACCCCTGCCCCTCCTCTTCTCCACCTCTTTCCACCCCTTCCCCCGAGCACGCTCCTCTCCTTCCCTCCCAGCACCTCCTGCCTGCCGCTGAACAGCTATTCCGCGGCATGCAGGAGGCATGTGGAGGGAGGGGGAGGAGTTGATCGGCGGGGCTGGTGGTCCCGGACATGACTTGCGGACCCCCTGGAGGATTCTTATGGCCCCACAGGGGTCCGCGGACCCCAGTTTGAGAACCGCTGGCATAGAGGGTCTGTTTTCAAGAGGGCTGCGAGTCATCAAATATGAAGTGAAAATATGAAGACACCGTATAGAATTCAGTGCTTGGAATGCTGGAAGATTGCTTACACAAAACAGTGAGTACTGTGGTCCATCAAGATACTCAAGCTTAGTATGCGCCTAGGAACTTGGCACTTTGCAACGTGTTTTCAAGAGGGCTGCGAGTCATCAAGCCGAGCGGCCAATAATGCTGCGTATGAAGCATTCCAAATTCTGCTCCGCACACAACTTATGAAACCCAGATCCCGGCAGGCCGTGCTCAGTGGTTTGAGCATTGGCCTGCTAAACCCAGGGTTGTGAGTTCAATGCTTGAGGGGGCCACTTAGGGATCTGGGGCAAAAATCAGTACTTGGTCCTGCTAGTGAAGGCAGGGGGCTGGACTCAATGACTTTTCGGGGTCCCTTCCAGTTCTAGGAGATAGGTATATCTCCATATATTATTTATTTATTTATTTTTGTTCCTTGCAATATGGGCTGCAGCTCACAGTCCTGCCAAGGAAGACGCCTGACTGGACTGGCTCTGGGGAGTGCTTCGGCACGATGAGAATAAAGCTAATGTCCTGCTGGCTGCTGAAAGCGACCGGGGCTGGAGGAGGGCAGGCCAGCGCAGACACTGATCACCAGTTGCCTCCCTCTCCTTTCTGTACTCGGAGAACAAGGTGTCCAACCCCTACACAGGGCAGCAGTTGTGGCGTGAACAGGCCTATGCTTCTGCACCCCCTGCCGCCCAGTGCACCTGTGGATCCAGGCTCTGTTGGGGCTGTGGGTGCAGGTTTGTGTTAATCTGTTACAAGTGGCAGAGCCCAGTCCCATCTGGGTTGGCAGAAGAATCTCCTTCCCTTCCCTCTCCCACGGCTTGCTGCGGCCTGGTCTCTCCTCCCGGGACTAGCTATGAGAGCTGACCCTCGCTGGCGTCCCCTGCAGCAGAAAGCCTGGATGCTGTTGTGTTAAGGCACTAGGCTGGCGTTCAGGACCTGCGGGAGCATGTGATACGTTTGTAGAGGGTCAGAGCTGAGCCCAGGATGGCAGGTCAGTTGCATGGCAACGGTCCAAGTCTTTTGTGTTTGTTCCATGCTGGAGCAAAACCAGAATGTTTCAACCCTCTTCCCCCGGATGGACTTGTGTTTTCAGAGGGATAGTGGAGCTGGTGACTTGGGAAGAGGGGGGTGGCTGTGTCCATCCTGCTGGTCAGAGCACTCCCCAGGCATGTGGAAGACCAGGGTCAAGTCCCTGATTTGGAGTGAGCTGGCTCTGAATTAGGCAGTCCCAGCTAGTGCCAGTGCCCCAGCCAGGTGATAGAGCATGAGAGAGAATCTCTCTCCCCTTTTCTGATGAAAACGTCAAAAGTGATACATGGCCACGACCCGGTTAGGCTGTGAGGGAACAGCAGAGGGCCATTCCCACCGGCTCTGTAAGGGGTGTATTGTTTGGTGATCTGGCGCTAGCAAGACAGGCTGCTCCAGCAGGCAGGGCAATAACAAACCAGGCTGCGTGTGGGCCCGAGGCAGGTCTGGCTGTGCCTCAGAGCGCGGCCGTGCAGTGGGACGGGAGCGCCGCCCTGCCTGCCAGGTGACTACAGTATTGGCTGCGAGGTGTGCGGATCACGTACGCGCCTGACAGAAGGGGCTAGCTCCCCGAGAACAGCCCCAAGTCTCAATAACCCCAAAGGCACCAGAACGGGGGCAGCTCTCTGCAGCAGCCCCCCGAGCGCCAGCTTCTCTGGGGCGGTATTTGATTGTTACTGCTGCAGGGCTGAGTGCTGTCCAGGTCGTGGCAGGCAGTGGGCGGGATCTGGACCTTCTGCCCGTCGGTTGCAAAGGCTGTAGTGGGCTGCTGGCACTGGGGCTCCTGGGCACGTCCGAGGGAGCTGGCGCTCCAGAACCAGTGGTCTATGCGGATCTGCAAGAAGCACGTAGAAGTGCTGGTGGTGGGGGCTGTGTCGTGCAGGCCACATGCAATGAGGGAAGCTACAGTGGGGGCAGCGTTGAGCATTTGAGGCAGAGAAGAGTTTCTGCCCTCTGGGCATTTTTAAGGGCAATGTCCAGCATTGGGCCTGGGGCGCTCTCTGCATGGCAAGTGTCCCTTCTCGTTGGGAGGAGGGGTCACATAGCCCCAGCAGAGATGTTTGGGGCGGCAGAGGAAAGCAACTTCTAACAACAGAACAAAATGTTTACAGCGCTTGTGAATGTTTAGCTTGCACCCATCCGCTTGCACAAGCGTCTTCAACTAAATAACGTACAAGTAAAAGAAGCACGAAATGGGAATGATGGGGAAGCACGTTCATGTACACCATTTGCTGTGCGTTGTATCTGGGTTTGAACTTGCAGGCTTACAGCTCTGCTGTGCTTTTAAACAATGGGCTTGTTGTTGCTTTACCTCGAAGCATGATTCTTCTCTCTGCTCTGGGATTTGCTCTGCTGCAAACGTAGACTCTTGTGCATCATCTCGCAAGCAGGGTACCTGTTTTAAGACACCTGGGTAATGTATGTTCATACTGTGTATCAGAAGGCAGCAGCCCCCTGAGTTTTTCCTTCACTTACAAATTAAATATTTTCCCACTGTGAGCTCGCCTCAGTTTCCCCTCCTGCTTCCCACAGTCTACATTATCTTCTGCACATTTTACTCCCTTTGTTGACTTTCCTGTTTTCTTTAATAAGCATAAACATCTACTGCTCTCTTGAGTTTGTTGTCAAAGACTGAGAATCCTTTAAAGAGAGTGGGATTTTCCCCCTGAAAACCATTAACTAGAGTGAGTGTGTGTGTGTGTACCTCCCTAGTATAAGGAACCCACTATCTATGTTAGCAAAACAGCTCAATATGTTTATGCGAATTTCATTTTGTTCTTGTTTCTCTCCTCTTCTGATTTACTACGTGTACTCACATGATCTTGGATGGGGGATTCTCAATCAGTTTTGCTGCCAAAAAAAAAAAATCAACAAACTGGCAAGCGTTCATATTTCAGTCCTGGAGTTATGTAGGTTAAAGTATCCTGGTGGAGACAACAGAATGTATCAGAAAGAAAGCAGAGAGCTGGAGATGTTGCCCGCTAGAAGGAAAGTGGAATAAGGGACCACGTTATTCTATATCCATCTCCAGCTTGAATTCCAACACTTTTAAGGTAAGTGGACGTCACTTCTTGTTTATCTACTGTTAAAATTTTGTTAAAAATACATTGCTTTACCTACCATAAGGCAATGTGTCATGCTGCTTTAAGTGGAAGCATAGCAAACATAAGTACAATACTTTACAAAAAATGAAATAAAATGAAAATAAAAAATCTGAAATGAATCATTTAAGTGCAGACAGTTGAGCATGTAGAAACAGCTGGTGCTAGTTCATGATAGTTTATCTAAAAGTAAACATAAAACAGTCCTACTGAGAGTAAATCAAACAGATAAGACTTCATGGCTTTATTTCCAACACTTCAAAAGGTTTCAGGATAGAGTAGGCATGAGAAAAAGGTGATCTACACAGTTAAAAAACAAAAACCAAACCAAATCCCTCACCATGGTGGAGGAACTGTTTAATTAACAGTAAATTGAGTTTAAGATCGTGTGCGTGTGACTTTCAGTGAAGAGGCACTAATGTATTAGGATACATCTATCTGCTGCCAATTTAATTCTTACTACATTATGATAACCGTGTATTTAAAAGTTCATTTTACCAGATTTTTCTAGGCAGTGTATTATTTACTGTAGTATTAAAATATTTTGTGCAAACCATACATGATCATGCATGAGAAGAATTGCCTAAAGTCATTAAAATGATAGAAAATATTGAGACTTTTTGAGGCTGTCATTCACCCTTTGTTAAATAAAACAGCATTGTTAGATCTCAGTGGGACAGATCCTGCAGTCCTGACCCGGTCAAAACTCCCCGTGTCTTACGGAGACCTTGGCTAGGTCTGAAATGGCTGGGCTGCATTTATCCCTTGCAAGGATTGTTAGTAGCAAAAATATAAATGGTTCCATGAGTATTTAAACAAACAGCAAGTGTCGTTTTATCTTACATAACGACAAATAATGGAATGTCAAAATGACATCCTTTTTATTGATTAAACTTTTGCATAAAAATATAAGAACATAAGAACGGCCATACTGGGTCAGACCAAAAATCCATCTAACCCAGTATCCTGTCTTCCGATAGTGGCCAATGCCAGGTGCCCCAGAGGGAATGAACAGAACAGGTAATCACCAAGTGAGCCATCCCCTGTCGCCCGTTCCCAGTTTCTGGCAAACAGAGGCTAGGGACACCATCCCTGTCCATCCTGGCTAATAGCCATTGATGGACCTATCCTTCATGAACGCATCTAGTTCTTTTTTGAACCCTGTTATAGTCTTGGCCTTCACAACATCCTCTGGCAAGGAATTCCACAGGTTGATTGTGCGTTATGTGAAAACATATTTCCTTTTGTTTGTTTTAAACCTGCTGCCTATTAATTTCATTTGGTGACCCCTACTACTTCTGTTATCAGAAGGAGTAAATCAGACTTCCTTATTTACTTTCTCCACACCTGTCATGATTTTATAGACCTCTATCATATCCCCCTTTAGTCGTCTCTTTTCCAAGCTGAAAAGTCCCAGTCTTATTAATCTCTCCTCATACGGAAGTCGTTCCATACCCCTAATCATTGTTGTTGTCCTTTTCTGAACCTTTTCCAATTCCAATATACAATGTGACTAATGCTGTGCACATGCAATTAACGTTGAATTGAAATTTCACATGAAGTAGGTCCCCAAAAGATGTGAACGAGGTCTGTCTTTTATTCCTGTATTCGTAGCTATGTGGTGGTGTTGCTCCTGCGTCGCATTACTGAACTGAAGGCCAGTCCTGCTCCCACTGAAGTCCAATGACTAAACTCCCACTGACTTCATTGGGAGCAGGAGCAGGCCCTTGCTTCCCTGACACGTTCTTCTCTTCCAGTGAATACACAGCACTTGGAGGCAGGAGACTAGGTTCTATCCCCTGATTTGCACTAGTCATTGTGTGACATTTGCAAGCCTTGTAGCCTTCTCCATGCCTTAATTGCCCACTCCATGAAATGGAGCTTTGCCTCGCTTGTGGGCTGGCTGGGAGGTGAGATGAATGCCTGTAAAGCACTGTGAACTCTTTGCATGGACGTGCAAAGAATGATTGTTTTATGTCAGCTGTGAGAAAGCTGGGAAACAGGATGAGCACGTGGGGAAGAGAATCAGGAGAAACCCAGCCTGGGACTTGTCCTGAATCAATGGGCTTTCCCTTCTGCTGCCCACAGCAAGAACCTCCTCAGAATTTCAGAACAAACCCAGAAGCTCATCCCTTTGCTAGGCCTAATTAGGACGTGCCATCACCTCTCTTTGGTGCTGATTGTACCCTGTCACTGGGATAGAAGCTCTGAGAATAGCAAAGGTAATTTTGTAGGCTATGTTTGACTCTAACACTTGTTTTATATCTGCAGGTGAACAATGTGGTGATAAAGGTGTCTCTAGCACAAGAATTTCCGGCAGTGACTATCTCCTCGCCAATCCCCAAGATGTACAGTAATTACTCCAGGCTCAACACTACGGAAGAAACGCTTCAAGATGTACATTCCTCCGCTACAAACGTATCGGCTGAGCAGATGTCTCCCTCCCCCTGTCCACTTCTATATTCAGATTATCAATTTACACTGATTCCGGTGCTCTACTGTGTTATCTTTGTCCTTGGGCTTGCTGGCAACAGTGTGGTGGTCGTGGTACTCTGCCGCCATCACGGCCCTAAAACCGTTGCTAATATTTACATTTTCAATCTGGCCATGGCTGATTTGTTATGCCTAGCCACGCTTCCCCTTTGGGCAGCCTATTATGCCTACGGATACAACTGGCTTTTTGGATCTGTGATGTGCAAAATTTCAAGTTCCGTTCTGTCTCTGAACATGTTTGCAAGTATATTTTTCATTACCTGCATGAGCATGGATCGATACCTGGCTATTGTCTATCCTATTCGATCTCAAAGGAGAACACTGCAACAAGCTTCGTTGATAGCATTACTTGTTTGGGGCCTCGCTTGTTTGTCTTCCCTGCCAACGTTTTATTTCCGTGACACGTACTTCATTGAAAGCTTGGGGGTGAATGCTTGCATTATGGCTTTTCCCTATGAGAAATATGCAAAGTGGTCTGCTGGAACAGCCTTAATGAAAAACACTCTTGGCTTTTTGATTCCTTTAATTGTCATAGCCACATGCTACGTGTGGATCTGGATGCACTTAATGAAAGCACGGGAATTCAGGAAAAACAAACAAAAAAGAGACAAAGTCTTGAAACTGGTGGCTGCAGTTGTTGTGGCTTTCTTAATTTGCTGGCTTCCTTTCCACATTTTAACCTTTTTGGATGCCCTGGCTCGGATGAACATCATTGATAACTGTGACATTACAACAGTCATCGACACTACTTTGCCTTTTGGCATCTGCCTGGGATTTGCAAACAGTTGCATCAACCCTTTGTTGTACTGTTTCATTGGACACCAGTTCCAAGAGAAGCTCCAACATCTGTTTAAGCTGCGAGTCTATCAGTTTAACAGCACCCAGCAAAGCTCTTCTTCAAGAAAAGGGAGTTACCTTAAAGAGGCCGAGACCCCTGGGGACTGTGACAAAGAAAGACTGAACTGTAAACCAACACTGTAGGTAGCAAACAGGGTTTCTTTGGGGCATCTGGACGCTATTAATGCCACAACACTGTCCTCTTTTTTTTCTTCTTCTTCCATTTTCCATATTTTCTGGCACAAAATGTTCAAAGGAGAATTTATTTTAATGTACCTGGTTATCTACTTTACCTGCCTTTTGGCAAAGAGCAATGAATGTAGAATTTTTACATAAGGTGTAATGTATGTAAAATAGACCTATACATGACATTTTAAAATTATAAGCTTGTATGTAGCTGGGGGCACGTGAATGCAGTTTAATACGACATAGGAAAGGATGACCAAAAATAATGCTAATAAAAGACTGTGCAATAGAGAAAAATGTGAATATTACACCCCCTCATTAAAATGTCTTCCTGAAAGAAAGTTTGGCATGACAAAAAGCTGTCAATCGTGTTATAAAATGAGTAAAATACAGATATTACTGTACCTGTTTGTAAGAAAAGATTTTGTTCTGTATTTCATTTAGTGAAAGTATTTGATTAATGGATCAGATTATTCATGCGTTCTGAAAGAACCCTCCCCCCCCATGTTTTGAAAACACTGGACTTATTTCCTGTTTGTTTGATTCTGGGACCATTGCAGCAAATAAACAGTAATTGGATCAAAACCAAACCCTTTCGAACATTGTCCCCAAGCCAGAACTGTTGAAATATCTATTTTTGGAGGGGAACCTTTTGATTCAGGAAAGCTTTTTGGGTGGAGCAAGAGACACACACCTGCTCTACAGCCTGGTGGTTGGGGTCGCAGGCTGGGATGTGGGAGACGTAAGTTCCTGATTGAGAGCAGAGTTTTCCATCCCAGGTCACACAGAATCAGGAAGAGCAGCGAGTGGGGCTCCCGGGCCATCGTCCTAGGCATCAGTCTGTGATACTGACCCATCACAGAACAGATACAACCACAGGAAACATTGTGGGTTAGCCAAGATTTCATGTGGTCAGAAATGTTCTGCCCTGCGCTAGGAATGAGCTAGGAAGGGGCGCTGGTTGATTCGGGCGGCGCTGGCGGTTAATTGCTTGGCAATTACTGAAACCCAGAGTGGCGCTACAGCCACACAAATAACCATATTGGGATAATTGCCTGGTATTTAAAGGGACAGGGTCATGGAACGGATACTGAGCCTTTGAGCTCCAAATCACTCCTTGCAAGGGCAGTAGTGAGGGGCAATATTTGGCACTTTTCTCGTTCTGAGCAGAGAAGCCAAGCCCTGAATGAATCCGCAATTACCCACTGGAAATGTTAATGGGCCCCTCCACCGCCTCTGCTCTCAGACTCCGAGTCGTACATCTGTCGGGTCAGTGTGGCACCCTTTGCAAGCACTACATTCTGCTGGCAGTCTCACTGCCAGCTTGCAGAGGCCAAACCAAAAAGTTGTTTGGACTGAGAAACGTTCTGTGCCCTGCATTTAAATCCAACTATGCTGAAATCTGTAGCTGTACGCAAACAATTACTAGCAACCTCTGTGTGTGATCCTGGAAACGCCCCCTGCAGCAGATTAACAAACGGCCTGGGGTTCACTATTACTCCCTCTGGTGATTTGCACAGCTCTGCCTGGAGCTCTGGAGGGGGTGGGACTTGTCTGCTACACAGATATGGTGGGGTAATTTAGAAGCACTGAGGGCCAGTTTCTGCCCTCAGTTGCACCCACAATACACTGTAACCCAATGGAATTGTGTGCATGCCACAGAGGGTGGAATTTAGTGGAGGAACTCCCGCTGTCAAGGATATTCATTCCCCCCCGCAGACTGATTGCACTGTTTGTTTCTGCAGTTGCATGGAGATTAAGAACCTAAGAACGGCCACACTGCTCCTTTGAATAATTTGTCTCTCAGCTCCTCCTCTCCCCCTATTGAAAGAGACACCCTGGGGAAGCTGTATTCGGGGATTTCACCGTGTTCCCCCCTGGGGGGCAGAGCTCAGGTGGTGGTGGTGGGGGGGTTCTACCTTACAGGGTCTGGCTCTGTCCTCACCAGCACTACAAACCCCAATTTCCAGTTTCCTGCTCCCAACTGCACTGCTCTCCCATCTGCTTTCATAAACTGCGCGAACCTGCAGTTGGGCATCTCGTCCGTGCAGCTGAGCTGAGCTACGCAAAGGCCGAGAACAGTCATTAATGGGCGCAGGCACTGTGGTGGTAAGTGGCTTGTTTGCATGCTGTACACAATAAGACAGCAATGTTTAGTACAGTGTGTTCTCCCTGAGAGGCCAGCAAGCCTGAGCATGTCTTGGCGCCCACTCAGCAAGCTTGTCCATTTCCTCTTGATTTATTTCACACAAGAATATTCTCTTGCCATCCCCCAGCTGGCCCGTGTTACGTGGACACCCCTCCCTGCAGCCCGGCCCACATGGGCTGAGATGCAGCTGAGCTGTCGTAAAGGGAAACGAATGGCCTAATTGCGGAAACCTTTCCCCATAAAAGCGATTACATTTTAGTGTAACCTGAGGCTTCCCGCCGTGGCCGGGCATGAACCCGAAAGCATTCGAACTACAAATCCCTGAAGCCCGCCCTTGCTGCGGCCAGCCTTGCTGATCGGCCCACGGCTTGCTTTCTCGGGGAGAATTCAGGGGATTTTGTGGCAAGGCAGCCATCCATGAACCAGGCCCTCTAGCTGTCCTGGGCCACTGTCGAGCTGGGCTTAGGCCTGCGTGTGGGCAGATTGCATAGCGCTCACCGGCGGCTGCTGGTCTTCGTCTGGTGATGGAGACAGAGCAGATCATAGAATCATAGAATATCAGGGTGGGAAGGGACCTCAGGAGGTCATCTAGTCCCACCCCCTGCTCAAAGCAGGACCAATTCCCAACTAAATCATCCCAGCCAGGGCTTTGTCAAGCCTGACCTTAAAAACCTCTAAGGAAGGAGATTCCACCACCTCCCTAGGTAACCCATTCCAGTGCTTCACCACCCTCCTAGTGAAATAGTGTTTCCTAATATCCAACCTAAACCTCCCCCACTGCAACTTGAGACCATTGCTCCTTGTTCTGTCATCAGCTACCTCTGAGAACAGCCGAGCTCCATCCCCTTAGGAACACCCCTTCAGGTAGTTGAAGGCTGCTAGCAAATTCCCCCCTCACTCTTCTCTTCTGCAGACTAAATAACCTCCGTTCTCTCAGCCTCTCCTCATAAGTCATGTGCCCCAGCCCCCTAATCATTTTTGTTGTCCTCCGCTGGACTCTCCAATTTGTCCACATCCCTTCTGTAGTGGGGGGACCAAAACTGGATGCAATACTCCAGGTGTGGCCTCACCAGTGACGAATAGAGGGGAATAATCACTTCCCTTCATCTGCTGGCAATGCTCCTACTAATGCAGCCCAATATGCGGTTGGCCTTCTTAGCAACAAGGGCACACTGTTGACTCATATCCAGCTTCTCGTCCACTGTAACCCCCAGGTCCTTTTCTGCAGAACTCCAGCCAGCTCAGACCTTGGTGATGCTGGTGGGAAGGGGAAACAGAGGAGGTGATCTAGGCCTAGTGCATGTGGGCTGCTTTTGGAAGTCCATATAGCCGTGATGACCATGCATGCATTTGTCTACCTGTGCTTGGATGGGTGTTTGCAACTTTTCTTCTCCCGTGCCAGCACCCCAGGTGTACTTAAGGTATTGTTGCCTCCAGTCTGGATTATGATGCTGCACCATCTCTTGCTGTTAGTGAGCACCTGCATCTCTGAAATCCCAGGGAAAGGAGCAGTAAAGATCACATAGCTTCTCTCTGCCCAGAGATGGATAAAAACCTGCACTGTCTTGTTTATGTCACATGGCTGCTCCTGCAGCCTGTTAACCTCCTGAACAGGTAACCCCACTGATCTGAAATCAGCATGGGCTTTGTGTTCTTCCCAATGGGACATATTAGAGCTGGCTAAAATCTTTCAGCCAAAAAACTTTCTGTTGGAAAATGTGACTGTCACAATCAGCATTGTTGGCAAGAAAATGTTGATTTCTACAGTTTTTCAAATTGGAAAAATCCAAATTGTTTGTTTGTTTGTTTCAAAGCAACATTTTGAAACAAGAACAACCACAAAACATAATTTTGCTTTTACTTAAAATGCAATTTCATTTTGGTTTTGGAAACCCTGAAATTTCAGTTTTCCATTTGATGTGGCTATTTTAGTGCCCCTCTCCCATTTCCTTCCAATTTTTACTTTCCCCTTTTCCCCCACTGGAAAAAGGGGAGGAAAAAGGGAGAGTGAGGGAAAAACACTTTTCAACATGGTTTGATGTTTTGAACTGAAAAAGTGGGGGTGGGGAGAGGAGGAAAGGAGCAAAGGGGGAATCTAGAGGTATCCTGCATTTTCATTTCAAAGGGTCTTGCAGAAAAGCAACATTTTACAATGGAAAAAACTTTGAAAGGGAATTTTTCCCATGGAAAATTCCACAGGAGAAACCCCTGGTTTCCTGCTCAGTCTTCAGAAATGCCTACTCTTGAGAACCGGAGATTGCTACTCTTGTTAGCATCTGACTTTAGCAGACAGCAGCACTTCTTCCCTAAGGCATCTCTGCCGTTTTCTACCGTTGGCAGACATGACCGATGAATTGTACCAGTTCCGCTCTAACTACCAAGACTGGCAGGGTGTCTTCCAGAACCCGGACGTCACGGACTGAGATGGGAGACAGCTGTGTGCTAGCAACACGTTGGCGCATTTATCAGACCCACATCCAAGTGAAATGAAAGTCGGTGTCCGTCCACAGAGCTTAGATTTCACAACAATGCGCTTGATCCTGGCTGAGCACCCAGAAATCCCCCTGAAGTGGCTGAGGATCCGCAGCACTGCACAGAGTTCTCAGTGCATTATATGATTGACTGACACCTCTGTCACCATGCCTCATCGACTTACCTGTTCCAATTGCCACGTCTGCCGGAAGATGCTGATGCGGGCAGGACAGTTTTGAGCTGTGTCAAAAGGGGCTTGTAGAACTTTGGCCTCTCTGTGTTTTGGTCAAAGAGGAAAGATGCAAATCCAGGGGAGATCCCCTTGGCAGTCCGGCCCAGAGTTAGTAGCGTAAGACGTAGACAGAGTCTCCGATGGACTCCAGCCTCTTTGGGGCCTGAGGCAAAGATTTTGGGGAGGTCAGAGTTCATTTTTTCTCTCAGCTGGGTCAGCTATTTTCAAGAGTGTGTCCCTCTATTTGAT